TAATTTGCATTTTCATGAATGAAATAAGTATTTGATCCCTTTGCAAAACGTGCTTTAGTACTTGGTGGCAAAACCTTTGTGGGCAATCACAGAGTTCAGACATTTCTTGTAGTTGGCCACAAGGTTTGCACACATCTCGGGGGATTTTGACCCACTCCTCTTTGCAGATCCTCCCCAAGTCATTAATGTTTCACAGCTGATGTTTGGCAGCTCGAACCTTCATGACTATTGTCATTTAGTAACACCTATTTTCTCACACACCTCACATTTCTAAAACCCTGAACCCTTGATATAATTCTAGATTTGAGCTAAGTGAGCATCACACAAGTTGGTGAAATCACAGGCGAGGTTTGGAGGGCACTTGTTTGGGAAGGGGAGGGTCAGCATACAACAAGGCCAATAGTGTTCCTAGTTACTAGAGTATGTTTTCATTTGCAGTAGCCACTTAAATCATTACTTTGTGAACATCAGCACAATTCACTCAAATACTGAGAGCACGGGCTTATCTTAATCAAATAGATCAGTGTTAAAATGATCAAGAAACCTGCTCTCATTAAGGGAACATCTTTTTGTACAGTTCAAATTAACACAAGACAAAAAAACGCTTCCTATAAATGTTATGAGGTATTTCAGTTCATGAAAAATTAAAATGAGGAATATAGATGCTTGGGATCATTTTTTGTTGCTCTTTTTTTTTTTCTTGAGGATGGGGGATGCGATGGAAGTTTTACATAATTCAAATAAAACACGCAGATGTGACAAATCACTGGCAAGTCACTGTCAATTTCTATTAACATTCCAGCTCTAGCAGTTTTTTTTTTATATTAAAAAGCTCATTTCTACATTTTTTAAATATGCGGAATGAGTCTGCTATTCAAAAAAGTCCACAATCTTGTCCCTGACATCCTTGGAAAGCTCTTTGGTCTTGGCCATGGTGAAGAGTTTGGAATCTGGATTGACTGATTGCTTCTGTGAACAGGTTTCTTTTATACAGGTAACGAGCTGAGAGGGCTCCCAATGTCAGCTCGTTACCTGTATAAAATACACCTGGGAGCCAGAGATCTTACTGACTGATAGGGGATCAAATACTTATTTCATTCATGAAAATGCAAATTAATGTACAACTTTATTTGTAATGCATTTTTCTGGATTTTTTTGTTATTGTGTCTCACTGTTCACATAAACCTACCATTGACATTGTAGACTGATCATTTCTTTGTTAGTGGGCAAACTTACAAAATCAGCTGAGGTTCAAATAATTTTTTCCCTGACTGTATATATAAAATAAAAGAAGGAATATTCGCACTGAAGAGCTGACTAGTCCTTGGTCAGTGCAGCCCTACAGCTGTTGTCACCAACTAATCTTGCTCTGGTGATTTAACAGGAGGTTTTGCTGATGATGTTCATCCAACTTTGTTCAGAAAACTACCAAACTAGTAAAAACTGCAGTGACTAGTTCAGCTTAGCTCAGCTCAACAGCCTAAGCTTATTTACCCAGTTTCCTGGAGCTAAAATGTATTTGATGCTTTAGGATCTTTGCTTTTTTTTTTTTTTTTTTTAAATACAGCAGTTAAATCATAATAGTTGTCACATTGAAAGCAAAATGCCATGAATTCACAGGTAGCAGCTGTTCACTTTCTTAGTTTCCTGTTACTGTGAACATATGTTAGTGCAGCTGAGGCACAACCACCCATTTGAATGTGTCACCTTGTCAGAAAGATGAGTGCTTTCCTGGTTGTGCAGCTGCTTTGCCTGGTTGGTGATCCAGCCTTTCTCAGCTCCGTGACCGTAGTTACTGCTCAGCTTCAAACTGGTGTTTTCCAGATGACTGCTGAGCTAAGCTGCTGCTGTCTGACCAGTTGGTTAAGTCCTGGCAGGCTGAAACGTCAGTCTGCTCCTTTGACAGTTCAGTCCTGACAAACACTGCGTCCTGATGACAAGGTCCTGACCAACCAGCCGAGTCACTGACCAAGTCATGTTGTTGTGCCTGGCCCCAGATCAGCAGATGTTTGAGTTAAGCTGCCGTTCACTGTTTCTACATTCTGAATGCACTCCCAGTGGTTACGTGACTGTTAATGGTTTTATCAAACGTCCTCCAGTTAATGGTGTAGGAGCAGTCTCGCTGCCATAAAAACACCTACGCAGATATTTGACTCAAGAATATTTAGAAAAAGAATCACCTTTAAATGCCAAGTATGTTGAGCATACAAGGAATTCGTCTCCGGTACAGAGTCTCTCAGTGTGTTTTTATACAACAGACAGTAGTGCAATCAAAGGTAGGGGAAGTATGGGAGGAGGAGGAGGAGAGGCAGTATTCATAAACATTATATACATATTTACACATTTTGAGCTATCGGACTGGTGCACGTGTCGGTACTGTTTACACTTGTTGCACCGCGGTGGTTGCCGAGTCCTGTTCTACAGTCATAATGTGATGTTGCTGAGATGGAACTTTAGAAGATTGTGATTTTAGAGTTGGACTGAAAGTTGAAAACTGCAATGTAATTACTGTCAGTGTAAAGATTGATCTGTAGGTATGTGGTAACTTAATCATTTCATCTGTAAAAGGTCAGAGTTAGACCTTTTTCTGTCCAAATCTCCAAAATAATCAACAGTGATATGAAACAGTTGTTAAAAACGCCCCGTAGTGTTAATGTGTCACTGAGGCCTATGTTGTTTATATGAAAGAAGACCATTCCATTTCTTCAGCGGTTTGATTTTGAAACCAGCATTCAGTTTAGAGCTTGGTGTTTCCTGGCAGCTGTGAATGGAAGCAGGAGGAATGCAGCTGGTGTGGTTCTGCTGTGTTTTTCCGCACAGGTGACCAGGAACATTTTCACCCATTTTAACAAATGGGTGAAAATGAGAAATACTGTGCGTTGGCCTCTGTGAAGAGACGTATTCAGTGGTGATATCACAGCAGGAGTGAGTCTTTCACTGGTCAACACACGTGTGAAAACAGAAGCACAGTGACAACCAACTGCCCCATTGACTCCTGTGTTCAGGGTGTTAGGCAGGTGGTCATAATGTTATGGCTGATTGGTGTATGTTTACATGTTAAAAAAAACAGCATTATCCTTTATTAGCAGCTTAATTATTTTAGATTAATTCTAATTCTCTCAAATTAAGAAAGTCACTTTCCGCTTTTCCCATTTAGGGGTTGCCACAGCAAATTGTCACACTGACGACTCACATGTTGACATTTGGCGCGTGTTTTTACGCCGGATACCCTTCCTGATGCAACCCTGACTCGAACCCGGGCCGCAGCGGCGAGAGCGCTACACCTTAATCACTAGCCTACCAGGGACGGCTACTCACTAATTCTCTGAAATTAGTGGAGAATTAACCAAGGAGCTGTCACAGTCAAGGTGATTCCACCTCTACTCTGTACTTTCACCTGAAGTTTGCTCTTTGAAACTCGGCTGTTATTTGAATCCCAGTCAGCCAGGTGTTGCGTGTTTCACCTGATGTAGACCTAAACGAGCTCAGACTGAAGCAGAATGGGTTTCGTGTCACATCAGCAACACTGTGATGCTTTATTACCATTCAGAAACTCACATTTCCTTGTCTGCCATTTTATATCAGGTTGAGTCCACCTGTCCAGGGTTAGGTCTCTGAGACCTGTGAGTGTTGTTGTTGTTGGGTGTAGTGTTGAGGGTGTCAGGTCAGACTGGTCAGACTGGTTTTACCTGTGAACACGACACCTGGGAGGAAAACCTGCTGTGACCACTGAAGTTTGATCCTGTAGGAAAGACTTCGTGGAACCTCGCGCCGACATTTTTTTACTTCACTCTGGGATCGTATCTATTGACATGTAGGAACATCCTCAGTGTAACTGAGGTTTTTGTTCACAGAACCTGGTAAAAGCTAATGTTAGTGGGGCGCTGACAGATCACTCTTTCACTGGTGTGTGTCTCCGTCCTGTTTCTATGACAGAATTAACTATAAATAACAAGTAGGTGTCAGTAAATAAAGAGCAAGTTTAAGGTTTGGTGTGGACAATATACTTTTAGAAGGGCTTAATCTTCTGTGTTAACCAGCTGGTTGCAGACCAGCACTGAGCCCTGTGCTTCACATATGTACATGGTGTCAATAAGTCAGACTTTGTTCGGGACCAACAGAAACCTGAACTGTTATGTACCTGGGGCCAGTCTGATATCTTCCTCTGTCTCCTCTCAGTTCACTGTCGTCAGCCGATGAAGGTGGGTCCATGTCGGGCAGCGTTCCCAAGGTTCTACTACAATGTGACCAATCAGAGCTGCAGCAGCTTCATCTATGGTGGCTGTGGGGGCAATGGAAACAACTTTGTCTCTCAGGAGGAGTGTGAGACAAACTGCACCGGAGTCACAGGTACCACTCAGCTAATAAACTCAGGCCTCTGCTGGGCTGGAGACAGGTGGCACTTGCAGATGTCAGCTCTGAAATGCCATAGAACACATCTGTGAGCTCTGATGAGCTGTTACAGCTGGGTTTTGTATGGATGTAATGGCTAAGTGATTCATCTGCTGAGAAAGTGGGAGCTGCTGGCCAATGGAGATGGAGTTGTATCATGATATTTAACTGTACTGATGTGATCCTGAAATTAGTACTGTTCCCGTTATCTTCGTGGCCACAGGTCACATCAGCAGTCCGCCTTAACAGCTGTTCTAGTGACGCTCGGTGACGTGCCACGTCCTCCTTGGGTTGTTTGTTGCATTCAGACAAGCTGACAGTAACTTCTGAATTGAAGCAGTTGCCTTCCTTGTTGTCGCGTCAACATCTGCCGTGTTCTCTTGCAGAACCACTGGCTCTCCTCGCATTCTGAGGTGGAACAAGTTTGGCATGTTTCCACCCTTTTGTACAGGCTTCCGACATAATTTGGACATCACAAATGTTTGATCCACATCTGATCACTTGTAGACAAACCTTTTCCAGACAACAGAGGAAGCAGATATCTTCAGGCTTAAATCTTCTAACTGGCGAGCTTCACCTCCCGCCACGTTGTTCTGTTTGTAGGCCACATGAGACGCCACATTACACTACGTATGCTGACATCATCAGGTGTACTAACGGCGCCATGGGTATGCTCCTATATCGATCATGATGCCATCCTGTATTGATTCTCTTAGCCAGCGATCGGATGTTTGCTGACCCTTAAAAATATGCCACGATGCGATTTTGATTCGAGTCAGGGGGCTGTAATCGATATCACACAATTATGTTTTTATTAACGAAGCTGTAACAAAAGTATAAATTTGTGTGAAGCAATTACATTCTGCTGGTGTGTTCTCCCACAATGCACCTGGACTTAAGGGGTTGTTCACTTTACAGTCCTGTCAGTTCCTGTGGAAAGTTGGAGATGAGCCTGAATGTGTACCTACGAACGGTGCAGATTTGTTTTTGGAGACCAGAGTTGTCTGTCATTGAAGAAAGCCTCACCTGTGTCGTGTCACCTCTGTTCTGTGTGTGTGTGCAGTGACACGCACTTTTGTGGTTTACATCATGTGTTTGTGTTCCTTCACCTCCACAACAAAGGAAACACACCTGAGATAAAATCTGCTCTGTACAGTTGTTGAGCCTGTTTGTCTGGAACATCACAGAGGAAAGGTCAAAGCCTGCTCAGTGCTTACGCTGTGCCAGTGTTGTGTGTCAGGATTATCTTCTTTCACAGGAATCTGAGAACAGCTGGGAGTGGCACAAATCAACACCACCCCCTCTTTACAGACATGTTGTACAGTGTCTTTGTGAGGACTCACTCGCGCAGTACACTCCCCAGTCCCTAACCATCACAACTACACAGCAAACACCACAACCAACTCTAACCATTACAGATCTGACCATTGAGACCAGTAGATCTGACGAGTGTGTGTGGTTGTGTCCAGGTTCGGTTCTTCCTGATGATTCGAGTTCTGTCAAGACTGCTCGGAGGGCTCCGTCCTTCGATCCAGGTAGACATGGTTCTTTACTAGTTCTAGTAGTACTAGTAGTCATGACTAGCAGCAGAAAGCCTTTGAGCTCATCCTGTTATTGTTTCTGCTGGTCCAGAACTGTCTGTCCATAGTCCAGAGTCTGAACCTGCCCCTACTGAGTCAGCTCACGCTGAGAAGACAGGTAAGGTCACACCTGCACACACCTGGCCTCACAAGTTATTTTACAGAAGGCGACTTCGTGTCTTCATTAGAGCCAAACTCTAACGCTTATTTAGTGAAAGTATGCCCTGTTACCTGTGCAGTGGCAGGGACAGGTCTGAGGCCTCAATGACGCCTCCTGCAGGCTGGCATGTTAATTACAGCTACAACAGTAAAGAAAGAAGAGCTAGTGCTTTTCTGTGCTCATCCTCAGGTGCCTGACAAGATAAGAGCTGTAGGTTGATGCTAAAAACATCTGTGTCAGGTTGTCTGTGAACATGACTCTGTTTCTCTCTGCTGCAGATCTGCCGGACGACGACGACTATGCTGGTACGTTCCAACAGTTACCTCAGCATCGGTTTCTTTATGTCCTGTCAGTCACTCCTTCAGTTTGCAGTAACACTGTCCCATATGGAACGAAGTGTAATCAGACTTCAGAAGAGATTCTCATACTGCTGTGAGCCCAACCAGTCAATCAGAATACAGCAGGAAATGAACTGGTGCCAGTGTTTTTGGTAAACAGACTGATGTTGTAGAATTGTAAACAACTAAGATAAGATGATCCTTTATTGTCATTGTAACGCGTACAACAAAATTTTAGAGTGACCTCCAGTCGGTGCCGCAATAAAAAAAATAACATATGAAATAAAACCATATTTAAAAACTTAACCGCTAGAAAACCAAAATAAACAATAGCCCTCTCACTCCAGTTTTTGGGGGAGGATGGTGTTGAATGCAGAGCTATAATCCACAAAGAGCAGCCATGCATAGCTTTCCTGATGCTCCAGGTGGGACAGCACAGCGTGGAGGGCTGTGGCTATGGTGTTGTCTGTGGATCTGTTTGGCCTGTATGCAAACTGGTGTGGGTCAGATGTTGGTGAGAGGAATGACATAATGTGTCTCCATACCAGTTTCTCAAAACACTTCATCACCACTGGAGTGAGTGGAACTGGCCGGTAGTCATTGAGGCCGGTTTTGTAGGGTTTCTTAGGCAGGGGAACTAGGATGGAGGACTTCAGGCAGGGTGGGACAGTGGACTGGGCCAGAGACTGGTTGAAGATCCTGGTGAAGACTCCAGCCAGCTGGTCTGCGCAGTCCTTCAGCACATGTCCGGGGATGCCATCCAATCAAGCAGCCTTGCTCGGGTTTATAGCCCGCAGCGAGCCCTGTTGCCTGTCCTGAAGGCGGTGTTCCTCTCTCTCAGTAGCTGCTTGACCTCCCAGTTCATCCAGAGCTTCCGGTTGGGATAGACCCTAATGTGTTTGTCCATGGTAACAGTGTCTATGCAGTTCTTAATATAACACAGGACACTGTCTGTGAACACCTCCAGGTCTAGATGTTCAAAAACGTCCCAGTTGGTCCTATCAAAACGGTCCTGTAGCTGCTGAGAGGCACCGTCAGGCCCAGTTTTTTTCAGTCCTTGTGATGGTAGAGGCAGTTTTCCTGAGGGGGGCATATGCAGGAATTAGAAAAAGGGACAAGTGGTCAGACTGGCGCTATAGCCTAGCTTTATATTTGAATAAACCTTGTCCAGTGTGTTAGCTCCTATGGTAGCACACTTTACATGCTGGTTGAATTTGGGGAGTACCGTCTTTAAATCTGCATTATTGAAGTCCCCTGCTAGTATGTGCACAGCATCAGGATGTCTGCTCTGCTGACTGCTAATACTGCCATATAAATGTCTTTATTATATTGCTGCATTTGCTGCTTAAAGTGCCTTAGATTTTGTTACTTATTCATCTACTTTATATTTCATTTGTATTGTTAGGTATTCTATCAAAGTCAAAGTGTTTATTTGTCATATGCACAGTCAGAAAACGTGTTTCCCTGTACAATGAAATTCTTACTTTGTCATCCGGTACATGGGCATTTGACAGTCACATACTCCAAGTCTGGGAGCAGTGACTGTCTACAGTCACTGGGTTGGGACATTAATCGATTAAAAATAAATAAGTTGTTGCAGCCTTAGTGTACTTGCAAAGTATAATTAGCATACAGTGTCATCCAGATGTTTCTCTAGCAGCTGTTTGTGTGATGGACAGAACAGTGATGTCACAAAAATACAAAGGAAAATTAATCAAAACAGCAGAAGCAAAGACAATAATTAATAGATAAAATAAAACATACCTGTGTGGAACTTGGTGTCCAATTAGAGCGCTGCGAGGTTGCGTCTGAGGCGGGACCCTGCAGAGCAGCGTTTCCGCGCTGGTACTTCAACAGCAAAACAGGAAGCTGCGAGTCTTTCGTGTATGGAGGCTGCAAAGGCAACAGGAACAACTATGACAGCGAGGAGAGCTGCAACACTGCCTGCCCAGGTGAGTCACACACCTGTGTCTGCTATGAGATAGTTAATAGTGTATGTGTTGATTAATATCTGTCCTGGTGTTGTTCTTCTGTCCCAGGCTCATTTGAGAAACATGGGCGCACCCGCTGGACTGCAGGTCAGTTTCTACTCTGAACCTTCAGATGTGGAGTTTCAATTCACTTGGAGCAGATTTCTGTCTGATCTGTGAACAGCATGTTTGTGTGTGGCTGCAGACTCACAGTCAGAATTGCATTTAGGGTGGTTTTGCACTAGGGACCCTGGCCCAGATCTGAGTACACTTGATCCCAAAGTCCAGGTCATTTACAAAACAATCGCAGCTAATGTGAAAACAGCCTTAAACAGCTGGTATATCACAGGTAACACAGGACTTGATTACAGGAGGATAATCTTATTTCTAACAGTCTGTTGCATCTGATGCATGAATTAATTTTCAGCACTAATTACAGGAAGAAACCCTGATGAAATAAACCAGACTGGACTCAGTCAGGTCAGGGTTCAGTTTGAACCAGGCTTTTCCCAGAAAGACCCTCCTCTCATCCTTCTCTTTGGTCTCCTCCAGCCTTCTTCCTCTTTGTCACCCTGGCATGCATCTCTGCTCTGCTGCTGGTAGCGCTTGTCCTTGTGTCTGTGAGACGCCACCGTCGCTCCCGTCCTTCCTCCATCAGGTAATGTTAACCTGTCAGTGGGTAACACTTCACTTAATGCCACCCCCTGCTTGTGAACAGTGTGAACAAACCCTCATGAGACTTTAATCTTCATCATACATCAGAACTGTTCTTAGATCTTGACGAGTAGTTGGTTAAAAAGAGAGAGTAAAGGGCTCTGTGCTCTTTCTGCTGTGTTGATGAACCAGAACTTCTGATTTGGGAACAGGAATGTGAACCTACAAACCAACCAGTGAGCAACTTTCTGTCTCTGTCATTAACACTTCCACCCATGTGTTCATGTCTGGTTCTGCAGTGACAAGGAGGAGCTGCTGCCAGATCCTGATGAGCAGTCCTCGGTGGAGTCTCTGCCCATCCCTGAGAGCCCCAAATCAAACCAGGCCTGAGGCGTTGAGCCACTCTGGGCCACTAAGGGGCTATGGATTTGTTTCAGGGGTCTAGTCCACCTCAGGACTGATTTCAAAGATGTTGTTTCTGTGAGTTCTTAAAGTAATTCAACTTAAAGATACAAAGTGAGTCCAGATGGAGAAACAAACTCAAGTACTAACCGATCACTAAAGATAACTATAAAGCACCAGTACAAGGATGTGATCTCAGTAACAACAGAAGGGTGTCAGTTGTGAGGTGGGCTCCGTGTCCACTGTCAGAGCTGTGTGTCCAGAGTCGGGTTCGACATTTGAACTTTTATTCATCTTGTTAAATTGTGACTTTCTCTTCGTACAGCAGGTTGTTTGTGTTGAGAACCAACTCTATCCTCACTGACTTTTGGCAGAATTACTCTGATTCTCCTCCTTTCTTAAACTAACTGATCACCTTAAACTAAAACCTGCTGTAAATTAGACTGTTTTTATTCTTCCTGTTACAGAAATACTCTTGAACACCTTCAGACTATGGCACAGCTGATTCATGTTCTTTGTCTTTCAGTTTGAAATCTGTAGTTCTAGGTTTAACTTCCTGAAGTTCAAAGATGATCTCAGTCAGTGGTTTTCAGCCTTGCTGCTAAACCTGCTTCATCACTAATCAAAATACACAAATAATAATCTTAACTTTTTCAAAGACTTTAAATTGTCATCGAGTTAAAAACTGAAGATTATTAATGTGAGAATATGCAGCCTTTTCTGTTTTATGACAGTCATTTGAAGGTGTCACAGTAGACCTTTTGTTTGATACCTTTGGGCATAATTTTTTAATATTTACTGGGAAAATTAATATGAAATAATATTTCTACGAATGTAAACATTGCCGTAGGATGCCATAACAATCAGTGTAACCTTAATTCACATGAACCACTTAAGAAATCTTGAATAGTCTGGAACGTCCTTTAGTTCTGTAAAAATAAGAAACTGCTCGGCCAGTGGGAGGAGACTGATGTTGAGACAGTAAAGATTCAGAATGAATCAACGCAAACCTTTGGGATGTGGTAACTGAATTAAAAACATGATGAGATTTTTACCTGCACAGGATGAGATGTAATCCTGACTTTGGTCCAAAAGTCTGGAGCCTATGTTTCCCATCATGCACGTGAACCGTGTCAGAGCCAGAGCGCCCTCTGCAGGCTGGGAACCACTGAGGCACATTAGCAACCTGCTCAATCATGTATTTTATTAATCAAAATGTATTTTATTGATGATTAAAGGGAAACATTCTCCTGCTCACTTTAAAACTGATGATTTAACTCTCGCTGTCGGGTGTTTTAATAAAGGTTAATGTACCTGTACTCCAGGTAACCAGTCTGCTTCTGAAGTTTGATGTTTGCTGGAACTTGGGGAATACACTACGACTGCTACAGTGCATGATAAGTTTGCTTCCTGCCAAAAAATAAAGTCTCATATTTTAATATGAAAGTTAAATTCAGAAATATTTTGGGAAGATCCTGAAGTGTTTTTGTTTCTCAAGGGAAGACTCAATTTCGCCAATTTTTTCCCTCAGACATAACTGATTCTAAAGTGAATGTAATGTAAAGTAGTAAAAATTAAACGGTAACTTCCAGAAACAGTGGCTCATAATTAGGAGACTGAACGTCTTTTGAGGTGGTTTTGATCACAAAATTGTTTTATGTTGTGAGAAAATGTCTATCAGTTTCTTAATTTCTGTCTGAGTTTGAGAACCTCTGTTACAACTGCAGTTGGTACTATTGTACTACGTGGTGTATTTGGTAGGAAACGAATATTTTCATGTACAGTATATACATATTATGCTACTGTGAAAACTGCATTTAGATCATTTATATTCTTTACATGGAATTAACCTCAGTTGATTTCAAATGTTTCACTTTATGTGAATAAAATTTAAGTTCTGTGGATCATTTATGTGTGATGGAAAAAATGACTTGGCTTCTTTCTTGAACCTACACTAGGTAACTAGAGAATTGAAAATTTCTGAAGTTTTAGGTGCCTGACCGCCTCCTGTCATCACTGAGCTGTGGTTGGACTTGCAGAACACAGTAATACAGTGTTTGCCCACATGTGATGAAACATGTAGAGAACAATGTGGGATTTGGCTGGATCAGGACATAATGCATAAATCCTCGAACAGAGGAAACCAAAGACAGACAGAGATGGAGTGAGAGACACAGGAAGATGAGATGGAGCACTTTTTTATTTTTATTTTTGCAGAACATCCTAGTACAGCATTTGTACATGTGTGAGGGAAACATTATGCTGTCAGAACAGCATGAAATGAGGTCAGAGAAAAATCTCCAGAGGGGCTGAACAAGGGACTTAAAACTAAAATACATCCAATTAAGAAACAAAAAGGATATCAAAATGATCTTTTGAACAGTTATAGGTCCAGGACTGTTGTATAATAGAGACTGAATGACTGATGTAAGTGGCACCATGGTGATGTGATTAATAAGAGGAACATGAGCTAAAGCATCAAATCAAAAACCTACTTTACACCAAAATAGAGCAAAGTGTGTAGTGTCATTGTGTCTTTGAATGACCCCCCATCCCAACATCCCAATGTTCACTGTAGTGCCCCCAACTGGCACGGATCTATGCATTTCAGCACACTCCACTGATGAGTTACAGTTTATCAAACTTTAAACGCCATCAGAACATGAGATTGTGATATATTTATAACTGTAAACCCCCCCAAGCCAGACATGGGATTATCTGAAATATAATGAATTTGTCTGAGATTAATGTATTCCCTCCAGAGTTATAATGTTTCAAAGATAAACCACAGCTGAAGTGCCCTCAAGTGGCAAAAGTAAACTATTTGACAGGCCTGTGTTGTCCTGCACCTGGGCTCCAATTTTGGTTGCATTTGGACATTTTAGAGGAGAATTATAACTGGCGGCACAGTGACGCAGTGGTTAGTGCTGTTGCCTCACTGCAAGAAGGTTCCGGGTTCCCTTTCTGTGCGGAGTTTGCATGTTCTCCCTGTATGGGTTTTCTCCGGGTACTCAGGACTCCGCAGTCCAAAGACATGCAGGTTAGGTTGATTGGCGACTCTAAAATTAGACTTCATCCAGCATAAAACATGCCAAGTTTAGCATGTGCATTGTCAGAATCAGAATCTGTTTTATTGGCCAGGTGTGTCGGACACACTTGATACCATTGCCCCTCTGAAAAGGAAGGTAGTGAAACAGAGGAGGCTAGCCCCGTGGTACAGCTCGCAGCTCTGCTCCCTAAAGTAGGCATCATGAAAACTGGAAAGGAGGTGGCGCTCCACTAAGTCAGAAGAGTTTTTCATAGCCTGGAAAGATAGTTTAATAACATATAACCGCATTTTATTCATCACTGATTGAGGAAAATAAGAACAACCCCAGGTTTCTTTTCAGCACTGTAGCCAGGCTGACTAAGAGCCACAGTGCTGTTGAGCTTAACATTCCCTTAGATCTCAGCAGCAATGACTTCATGAGCTTCTTTACAAATAAAATCACAACTATTAGAGAAAAAATTGGTCGGACCACTCCCACAGCTCTCGCAGATGTGCCATCTACTACAATGGCTTTAGAAACATCTGTAAGACCTCATTTATACTTGGACTACTTCTCCCCTATAGATCTCTCTGAGTTGACCTCAGCAATTGCTTCATCTAAATCATCAACATGTCTCCTGGACCCCATCCCGACCAGGCTGCTCAAAGACGTCTTTCCCCTAATCAACACATCCATACTAGATCTGATTAACCTCTCTCTATTAACAGGTTATGTTCCACAGGCTTTTAAACTTGCAGTAATTAAACCTCTACTCAAAAAGCCTACTCTTGACCCAGGTGTCCTAGCTAACTATATACCAATATCCAATCCTTCAACAGAACATTTGAAAACCACAATTCTGGTTGCATACCTTTATCCTTTGCTTGTTTCTGCTCTTCTTCTTTTTATTTTCCTAAATTGGGCACCTGAAGCTTTGACCTTTTTCTCTCCATCGCTGTTTTTTATTAGCCATTTCACACAATTTGGAAAAAAAAGTGCAAATTATAGGTCTGTTTATAATGTTATGAATGAAATGTGCATTATTTGGAAGAAAGTCAAGGTGTCACTGACTTAGTTTAGCCTACTAATTGGATCCCCCCACCCCACCCCGCCCCTTCGTCCGCTCCATTTGGGAGAGGTGAACTCTCCCCTTTCCACCTCTCACAGCTTCTGTGCACGGCACCTTCTCATCAAGCAGGGGCACCACATATGATAGATAATAGAAAACCGCTTAGTGGCGCAGATTATTTTCTTTCCAAGTGCTTGTGCCGCCCCCCACGTGTCATGAAAAAATGCCGCACCGGGCGAAAATCAGCAGCATCCTGTCTCAAAGTGATGCTGAAAAACTGGCCCATGCATTTGTTACTTCCAGGCTGGACTACTGTAACTCTTTACTATCAGGATGTCCCAATAATTCCCTAAAAAGCCTCCAGTTAATCCAAAATGCTGCAGCCAGAGTACTGACAGGAACTAGCAAGAGAGATCATATCTCTCCCATATTAGCTTCTCTCCACTGGCTCCCTGTAAAATTCAGAATAGAATTTAAAATCCTTCTCCTAACATACAAAGCCCTTAATGACAAGGCTCCATCATATCTTAAAGACCTCGTAGAGCCTTATCATCCGAGCAGAGCACTTTGCTCTCAGAGTGCAGGTTTACTTGCGGTTCCTAGAGTCCACAGAAGCAGAATGGGAGGCAGAGCCTTTAGCTATCAAGCTCCTCTCCTATGGAACCAACTCCCAGTCTCAGTTCAGGAGGCGGACACCCTCTCTACCTTTAAGATTAGACTTAAGACATTCCTTTTTGATAAAGCTTATAGTTAGGGCTGGATCAGGTGACCCTGAGCCTTCCCTTAGTTATGCTGCTATAGGCCTAGGCTGCTGGGGGGCCCCATGATGCTCTGAGTTTCTCTCCCCTCCCCTCCCCTCTCCTCTC